ATATATATATATATATATATACATATATATATACATATATATATATATATATAAGTCGAATACTGAATGAGATTACCCACCTAGTAGATAAAATATTACTTATCAAAAATCTTTGTGATACATAAGCAATGAAATATATGTTGTTGCACCAAATTTAACATATTTTTATGGGTAAATCCCATATAATATTTTATTACTAGTCTTAACATTATTAGGAGGTTTGACTTGATGAAAAAATATTGCTAGGTAACTTATCATACACACATATTTTTAGTAGTCTGTCTTGTTTGCATAGACTCTTCACTCAAGTATGAATTGTCATATGAAACGAAATGAAGTGTGGAAAAAAAAACTCTAATATGTGCATTATAACTTAGTGATACATCATATGTTGGGAACATAAGTACAAACTAGTTTCTTCAAATAAGAGTTGGAATACGTATAATATTCATTTCTCATGATAAGTGCCATTTGTGCTACCCTTATAAATTATTAAAAGCATGTTCTAAATGCCTTAGTTCTTCACATAGTGCCAATCATCAAAATGAAATTTGATAGAATTTGCACCCTTTTGATTCACAACTATTGTTCACCTAGGATATTAAAGCCAGTGAAGTTGCTATGCTTGTATTTCTCTTGTAACAGTTAAAAAAATGAAATTTGAAAGAATTTATATTCTTTTGATTTACAACTAATGTTCAACTCTGATATTAGAGCAAGTGAAGTTGTTATGCTTGAATTTCTCATATACCATTATGTATAATGGGTCTGCATAAGTATAACAGAACTAAACACACCTCTAAACAGGAAACTATTGGAAACCTAACCAAAATTTACAAGCAATGCACTCGATCAAGATGTACATGACATTCTATCGTCTTGGGTACACTGGTAGTCTCAAAATATTAACATGTAAATAACAGGAGTTCTCCCTTATCCTCATAGCAATGACTTAATTTAAACATTTCCGCTATAAAGTGATTGTGAGTATCTTCGTCCATGGCATGGCTATTTCATTCTAGGATACTCATAGCCTTTGGGGGTAAGTCGGTTTTTTGTATAGGACTTATTCCATAATTATAACTCTGTGGGTGAACCTAGAACTAACCCAAGATTTCTAGATTGGATTAATCTAGGGTATGTATAAGAACCTAGATTTTCTTCTACATTCGCTACTCTAGAGGCATAGTTTACTATCTTAAGTTGCAGTTTTTAATGACTAAAGTTGGTCGATTTTAATTATTTTTGGGGTTTGTTAATTAATAAGGATTTTTTTTCATCTAAAAATTTTCAATTGTGATGACAAATAAAAGGTTTTCTAGGAGTTAATTTGTTATTTTTTTGTTTTAGTGATGTTTTGGTGAAATTGTCAATAAGATATTATTTTTTCATCAGTTTTCTTCCTAAGGTTTTATTCTCCCTTCATAAGTTTTAATTGTGAATGAGAAATATATTCTAAACAAATGAAACAAAGCTTTTAAATTCTCATAATAAAGATTTACTTTTATTCCCATTAAAATAATAAAAAGTATTATTTTCATCCAAAAATATTTAGATCTTTCTAAAAATAATTTTGACATTCTAAAGTATTTGGGAATATAAGTTTTTCTATGTTATGAATTACTTAAATTAAGATAAGCCAAGACTTATATACTCAAGATTTTGAGTATATGAATCATACGTTTCTGGGGAGAAATTTATTCATTCATATAATCATTTAATCTAAGTGAATATATAAGCCTTTCCTAGGCTAAGCAAGTGAAAGGAGCCTGGAAAGCTTATATTTTAGTTTAAGTTTTTGAAGCTCAAGGGTATTGAAAAGATAATTCAAAAGGATTTTTCGTTTAGAATAGAAAACCTCTTAATAATATAAGTTCCCTTAAGCTACTTTTAAAGCAAATCTTAATTTTTAAAAGTTTAATTAATCTTGATTGATTTCTTAAAATAGAAAATTCTTAAAGTGAATTCCCTTGAACATCATGGTTTTCAATATGACACTTTAAAAAAAAAAAAATTAAAATAGATTAAGTTATTTGAAAGAGATTTTTCTTTTGAAATGAAATTCTTTTAAAGTTCTAAGGAATAGACTTCCCAAGAGGATAAGTATGTAACCAAATTCTTAAAGCTTTGTGAAAAATTTCTTTTAAATTTCGGAAATAAGACTTTCTTTTCAAAAAGAGTTTTCTAAAGAAATGTTTTTTTTTTTTAATTTTCTTTAAAAGAGAATCTTAAAGAAAATATCTTGACAAGATTGAAACTTTTCTTCTTGAGTTTTTTTAAATTTTAAAAAAATTATAAACTTAGAGTTCATTTAGTTGGAATGTAGAAGTCTTGTTAGTGGGTTAATTTAAAGATTATAAGATTTTTTTACTTTAGAGTACTTTTAATTGGTATAGAAATTTTATGAGTCAATTAATTGGAAAAACCTTTTAAATCATAGAATACTTTCAATTAAAGTAAAAAATCATTTTCTTTAATAAGATTCTTTATATTTAAAAAATATCTCTTTTTGAGCATTTTTAATTTGTTCTATATAAAGTTTATCTTTTAAAACTATTGCCAAACTCTCTACTTCTCACTCAGCACATAAATAGTTTCATTTATTCTTCTATGGCTCTCATACATATTTTGAAACCCTTCCCATTATCATATTTATCCCCATAAAGTACTAAATAAACATGCTAGCAATCTCACATGTAAGGAATAATAGGTAAAAACAGTCACATGCAAATCATGAAATTTCATCGTCCACATCACAAATGTTCACTAGCTTCATGAGGTTTACATTTATGTTGTAACACACATTATATAAAAGGAAAATTATACAATCTAAACATATGGTTACATGAATTATCCATAGGATTCCTCTTTTAGGTTACTTACGTACATAAAAATATACACACTTAATACAAATGTGTTGACACACCCACACACACACACACACACACACACACACAGATATTTATATATATATATAGAACTTGAACAAATGCCACTTTATTGTACTCACTGCCGTATGTTTGGACATTCTCATTCTCAATGTTATCAGTTGCATCCAAATTTAAAACCTTCAAGTAAAACTGCTTCTGGATCTGCTGAACTCCTAGCCACCCTCATCTGGCTAACTATTTGAGGGCCACCCCACTACCGACAAACTGG